CCTGGGGCTGCACTCCTGAAGCGGTTGTTTCAGACCTGTGAGCCTCCCTCGCTCGCAGCTTAGTGCCCGTGGGAAAAGGCAGGGTGCCTCACCATTTTTTAAAGGTAGCTCTATAGCCCTCCTCAGTTGTGGTCTCTATTATGTATGTAAAAAGGCTGCTGAACTCAAGCGGGAGTTGTGTTCCTCTGCCCGAGGGCGGGAAAAAGCGGGTAGCGTAGGCGTTCCTTCATGAGGCAAGCGCTACCTTTCCTCCCTGCCCCCTCCAGTCCTGTAAGTTATTGTCAGAACTGGCGGAGCCGAAGAAAAATTCGGAAAACACTTGTAAAATATGTTGAAGGCAAGACACGGTTGTTTTGATTTTTCTGTGTTGCAGTACAGGTCTGTGTACAGGTCTGAGAGATGTTTTTTCTCTTAGACTACAGCAGGATGTGGTGATCTCGTTTCCTAATATCTTCCATATCTTCTCTCTTTTTTTCCTTTCCGCCTCCTAAAACTCGCAACACTGCAACAGATGATGTTTGAAAGATGATATGGGTGTGTACTCCTACCAAGTAATAAATGAGATTATTTTGGATTATAAACCAAATAGAGTGCAAACATTTATCTTTAAGGAATCAACAGAGGAAGAATGTAGGCTGGAAACACTTTGTGATAGGCTAAGATAGGTGGGTGGTCTGTCTCTCCTCCCTTTTTTTTTTTTCTTTTCTTTTTTTTTTTTTTTCCTTCTTCCCTCTAGCAGAGAAGTGGGGTAGGATTTTGTATGAAAAGCATCATCTTGGCCATGGCCAAGACCCATGAAATTCTAAATCCATGTTGAAACAATTAAGTAAGTGTCGTAATTTTTAAGATTTCACTAGAAGCTGTCCCTTCTAGCCCCACTGGCTGAGAAGTTTTGGAAATTTAAGTAATCCCTCCTCAGTTCTACTACATTTGAATGATGTTGGGAGAACAGTACGCTTCTGTGAGTTATTCCGTAAGAATTTGGACCTAAAGCATGAGCTTTGATACTTAACTTTCAGTATTCATGCTCATTACTCTCTGGTCTCGCATAACACTGCAAACTGATATGCAGTTTTTTGTAGTAATTTGTCCGATACAGGTAGTGATAGCACCAGTTTTGTAAGTAGTGAAGTGTATAAGAAAGTTAGGGTTTCTTTAACTTCAGTAACTATGTAAAATTCTTGCTTATACCAAACTTGAAATTCTTATAGGTTAATCCCAGAGATATGGAAAATTTTCCTCTCTTTGTATGTGAAGTTTTTTTTTCTTATTTCTTAGGAACAAGAAGTGCTGAAGTGACCGTAGCGTAACCTTTCTTGGAAATAAAAACTGTTTTAGGTTGTTGAGGTTCAGCATGGCATGTGGGTCTGTCCAGATGCAAATACAAATTTATATCTCTTTTGCTTTGTTATGCTTTATTTTAGGAAATGCTGGACTCTTAAGTACAATCACTTTTGTAGCAGTGTTGCTGTACAATTTTGTCAGATTGAATCACTTTGGAAATGCTTTCCAAAGAAGTAATACGGAACTTTGTGGAGGAATTTCATATGCTTTTAGAAATAGTGCTCTAACTGTTGACTGCAAGGAAAGTAATTTTAAGTGTTTGTGATCAACACTGAGGTAATATTAAAAAAGTAACTGTAACGTATGTAGCACATGATTTGCTGTTTGAAGTGTCCTCTCTCAGAGAAAAAGCATAAATGATGGTTGTTAGTGATTATTAAAGACATAGGTGGTTCTTATGTTGCTAATGAGGCAGTTAGATTGCCAGGCCAAATTCTAAATCTGTAATTATATTTTGCCTCCCTAAAACCAGGAAGCACATTTGTACTATTTCTAATCTTAAAACATTCTTTTTCATAAAACCAGTTAATTTGTTTTTTTCTTTTCCTGTGGCCCAGGACAGAAAAGAAAGCTGAATACTTAATTTCATCACTTTGTAATGAAAATGAAACAACTAATTCTTCCTTTTACTTTTGAAAGTTTCACCTTTCTAAGTTTTCGGGACTTTAGGTTTATAGCAGCTTTATTTTGTCACTTGCCTTCAAGTCATGTCATGTTGCCAGTAAAAACTGGCTTTCATGTACAGCCCTGCTATATTTGTTTGCTTACAACTTAAATATTCCTGTGTTTTTGCTGTTTTTACTACTGACAAGGGGGGTTTTGTTTGTTTATTTGAGGGACAAGCATGTGTTGTTCTGTCTTTGTTTTTTAAATGAAGGGATTTCTTTCACACTGAAAATAACAGGTAGATACCCATAGCAAAGTTTCGTTAGCAAGTGGCAAATAGTGAAAACCAGTAATGTTTGCTTGTGCCTATTGTGCTAGAGTTTTTGAAGCTTGATTTTGATAGATCACAAACATTGCAGAGTCACGCTGATAAAAATATCTGTTTAGCTCTTGACGTCTCTGAAATTTGCCAAAAAACCTGTCATTTTTGATTTGTGAAGACTAAGACAACCACGTTCTAGAAAGACATATAATGGTAGCATCTTCTCCTTGCTACCATCATGAACCAAATTTGGATTGATCATCTAGAGGTAAGGGTTTCTGTTTCACTTTAATCTCAGTTGCTGTAGTGATATTAATACAGTGACATACAATAATGACTGCAATAATGAACCTAGACCTGAGTGAAGTCAATGACTGCAGATAGCGCTAGTTTAACAAATTACAAAAAAGTTTTGAGGGATTTGTGTGAATAACACAAAAAAAGCTGAGAACACTGAGGAGCTGGATTCCAGTTGATATGTATCTGTCATTAGAATTGTGCCGTTGGTTACAATGGCTGCATGCCATGGACCTCAACATCACAAGGTATTATTCTCTGTGTCTGGGACTGACAGCATTGAAACTGCAACCTTATTGCTAATCTACAAGTGTAGATCAGTTCAGGCATTTCAACAGTCATGACAAGGATACATTTGTTCCACACGAAAGAAAAATGTGCCCAGGTTGTTATAAACAATGAAAGCTGGAAATAATATATTATCCTCAATTTTAATGATGAAAAACCGAAAGATTGAAAGCAAGATTGACTTGTTGGAAACTAAACTTCCATTAATCTTTTTCATTCCTTTTGGACAAAGCCATAAGGAGATTTGTTTATGATAGAAGACTTTACTGGTAGAAGATAGGCATATCTTTACCAGCAGTTTTGGTTACGAGAGAATTAACAGATACTTAATGGAATGTCTGTGGGTTTTACTGTGTCACTTTTGTCCTCTGATGCAGGTCTTTAGTAACGTCACTGCTAATTTCCCAATGCTTTCCTAGATGTTTTTGGATTCACTAAGGATTTATATCACCTGAAGAGTGTAACAATAGAGGAAAAAAAGACTGTCCGAAGGACTTCATGTCTCTCTTTTCAAGCTATTTCAGCCTTATTTGACTCTATGGCCACCATCTTATTTTCTGTACTGGAAGAGAAGAAACAGTAGTTGTTAACAAGTATCTTCATATATTGCACTGAAACAAATGTACTACTTTCTCACATTAATACTCTCCTAATCTCACTTTGTTATGTAGCTAAGCTTTCTGTTGCCTCAAGAAAGAAATGTTCGGATTTATGAGAATCATTCATAGCAGAGTCTCTATCTTAGAAAGTAATTTCTCTTATGACAATGATTGAAAGAACGCTAAGAGAATGGCAGGCAACACTGAAATGACTTCATAACCCCCAGCACCTCTGTTTCAAAGAGTCCCATTCAAAATCTGTAAGATGGCATTACTCATCTACCAGTTCATGCCTTAAGCTTTGACCTGTCTTAAAGTGAACACACAAAAAATTAAAAAAACCCAAACAAACAAAAAACCCCCTCACAGGTCCTCTTCCCACATGCGTTTAGAAATATGGCCTTAGCCGAAAGATTGCTGAAGACAACAGAACTAGAACTTAAAAAAGCTGATTCTACATTAAGTAGAATTGGAGCTATTGCATAAGAAAGAAGCCATATTTTGTGCACGGATTAAAACTGGCATAACATTAAACTTGAAAGTATATATTGTCCTCTGAGCGATACAATTGAGATGGGAGCATTTACAGTAATGTATGAGTGTCATTTCAGTGAATCTGTCATTACTTTTTCCTTCATTTTATATGATGTATTGTAGTTCATTCTAGTCTCGCAGTTTAAGTTACAGATGGAGAAGAATTTCATTTGAATTTTGTTATCTGTAGATGAGCCATGTCTGTTCCAGCTGATGAAACTGTGGGGGACCTGCCTGTAAGAGACGTAGGTCTAACTCTAGCTGGAATTGGAGGATTGCAAGGTTTGTACCAGCTGCTATTTATTACAGTTACAGACTTTGATCACTGGCTTCTTTAGTTTCTTTCTAAAAATGTTTCTGACATTCCCACTCACAAAATTAAGTTCAAATACCATTCAAAATCTGGGTTAAATTCTAAAAGATACTGTGACCCATTCTGTGTTCATGTTGCTTGTTATAAGAGGGGAGTTGCTGTGAGATGCTAAAAACTAGAAATCTCATTGAGCTATAACATTCATCCCTCCAGAAGAAAAGAGGACTTTTTTGCTGAATTGAGGGCAAGGCCAGACCCATTTAACAAAATGGGAGCCAAAAGTACTATGCAATTCTGATGTTACTCAGCTGCTATTAGAACGGAACTGCTGGGCTTGGTCTTGTATCTGAGTAAATTTACAGAATTATGAGTTAATCTTTTCAAGCTTCAGCAGAGTATGTTAACTTTGAAACAGTTTAGAAAGGATCTCTGTGGTAATGATCATCTTATTTAAGTAGTGTGTTTGACAGTACCTTGTTACTTGCTACAGTACCTTGTTACACCGTTTCCTTTGTATTCTCTAGTAGGTGTATCATTTGTAGTAGGCGTGTCTAGTTTGGTGTATCATTGGAATTACTTCTTTTATCTGTAAGAGGGAGGAAAAAGGGAGTAATTAATATGCCAATAAATCTGAAAAAAATTAATCAACAGACTCATACGAGTGTAAAATACCAAATTACTTGAAAACTTTTTTTTTTTTTCAGTATTTCAAAATGAGTTAGACTTAGGATTACATGTTGTTGGATGTATTGAAGGTAATTTAAAGTTGTCTTGGTTTGGGTAGAATCATCAACTACACAGAATGTAAAAGCTCGACAAGCTGTATCACGAATCAGTCGAGAGGAACTGGAAGACAGATTTCTTCGTTTACGTGATGAGAACATCTTACTCAAACAGCATGCAAATAAGCAAGAGGAGAAAATTAAAAGGTATATTTTTATTTTTAGCTCACGGTAACGTTTTTGCCCTCTAAAGCATTATCAACAAATTAAAAATCATGCTGATTTCTCTCAGAGCGCTTTTTAAAGCAGTAGTGAAAATCACTCATTGGAATTCATTTTTGTATTGATTTCTGGTTGTCTCTGTGGTATGTGGGATATTTCTTGCGGTGGGCGGTATTAGATCTCCATGTAGAGAGGTACACCGCTATCTACTGCTTCGGAGTTGGTATCTTGGGTTCATAGCTATGCTGTCTGAGTACAAATATAACAGGTATTCTGGGAACTGAAAAAGAGGCTATAGAAGCCTAATTATTCATCAGGATTTTCTTCTAGAATCAAAACAGCCTAAAATCAAAACCCTAAAATACCTTTATAATTATGATCAGGTCTCCTTTATTCCGGGTAATAGATAGCTTCATTGAAGAAGTCCCAAGTAGCATGGGGAGCACAGTATACCCAGTGTACCGAAACATACGCAAGCAACTTTAGGTTTATTATTAAACTTAGCGCTGTGCTGGCAAACCAGTCTGGACTCGGCAGAAGTGTTCGTGGTATTACTATATTCCAGCAGGGCTAATTAATCCAAAAGCACTGTGACTCTGTGTTCACTTTGTGCTGTTCTTAAGTTAATAAAACCTTGCTGCATTTAAGCTAGCTTCTGGTCAGCAGCTAACCAATTCATGAAAGGGCATCTAAAGATACTGCCTCTGTAGATGGAACTATTTCATACTTTTCTGAAGTCCAAAACATTCTTTCTTTTTGACTCAGTATGCAGTGAGTCAGGATCAAATTGACCAGCATGACATAACTTCAATTTTTTCTGTCAGGCAACTGTCAAATACAAGATGATGGTACAAATGAATTGTTTGCTTCTTCCACATGGCATTTCCTGTGTTTCTGTTAGATGACTTATCAAATACACTCATTATCCACTTTGGTAAAATTACACAGGATGTCCAAATTGGAATACCTGAATTAGTATTTTAAGGCACAGGAAATATAAAATACCGTGTTTGTCTCGATTGCTAGAGAGAAAACTTAACTCCTCAAGCTAAATTTCTCTCCCAGCATCCCTCATGCCAAAACCCTTGTAACTAAAAGTTTGGAATGAATTTGCAGTAGAAGTACATTGAAAAAAACAAATAAACAAAAAACCTGCTTACAGGCAAGTAACATTCTGTGACATCCTAAAGTTATTAGAGATTTTTTTTGTTTCACTTTTGTTCTTTTAAGTAGAAGCTTCTGTCCACAAGTATACAAAAATAAAACAAGCCCCTTTAAACAAATGAAGTGTGTCCTTATTTTCAGTTTTCTTTCTGGGCCTGCAAAAATAGATTCCCTGTAAACTAGATACAGGTCTTGAAGATGTGCGACCAATTTTGTAAAGTCTTGAACTTGTCTCTCTCATCAAAGCCACCTTTTCTTTCTTTATATGCCAAGTTTTTTCCATTCACTGCTGGGTATGTTTTCTGTTGTTGTATATTACATCACCTCCATGTGCCCTCTCTGCCTTTTGTTCTAGCTTACCAATGTTTATCAAAACTAAAGGAAATCAAAGGTACAACTCTTGAGATGCCAAAAGCAAAATTTGTATCCTTTTAAAGATAGATGAAAAACATACCCTCTGTATCTAATTATATTCTTCAGCTAACCGTTCCTTCTCTGAAGCATATTGGTAATATTTACCAAGTATAAAATTGAGTATGGTAATGAGAACTATTAAGTCTCTTTTTCCGGAGTACCTTCTTAAATATCTCCACCTATATATTTTAGTCACTTTAGAACTGAAATGTATATTTAAATCCTAAAATACTAGAAATAATATATCATTGGAATGTTGCATATTATTAGCATTCTTTCGATAGTTGAATGTTTTGTGGAATTGTAGCTTTTATAGTTTGCCCCACCACATCCCAAATCTGTAACTTTACTTAACAGCATGCAGAGGTTCCTATATAAGGTCATGCATTAAAAATTACATTTAAGCAGCATATGGAGTAAATATGTGTCCTCCCTTTACTAACCTTAAATGATAAGCCTTAGGAAACTGTTATTTGTCAGTGCTATAAAGCAGATTGCTGCATAGTGGTTTCAATTATCTTCAAAGAGTTCTTCACAGGCAGTAATAGTTATATCAAAACCTGAAATTTATTATTCAGGTTCTATGCTGAAGTCTTCACAGTGATTATGTTCCTTTCAACAGAATGCTTTTTATGCTGACTTTTCACATTCTTTTTCATCTTTTTTTATTATTTTCCCCAGAATGGCCACCAAGTTAATACGGCTTGTTAATGATAAAAAAAGGTCTGAACAGGTTGGTGGCGGCCCCAAGCGGCTGGGTCAGGCTGTGGAGCTGGAAGAAATGATTGAGCATTTGCAAGAGAGAGTTCGTGAGCTTGAGAAACAAAACGAGAGCCTCCGCAGCAAACTCATTTCAACTAAACAGCAGCTCCAGATTCAAGGCCATAGGCCTTGCCCGTACAGCTATGTTCAATCTCGTATTAACACTGGTCTCAAAAAAGTGAGTGAGGCTGCTGGCATGCCGGAGAACACAAAGAAAGGTATAATTCACCTTTATTAAAAATAGTGGCTTACATAGGTACCACTAATTATTGCTTCACTGTAGCAAGTATGTACTCTTTTCTGTTCATCAGTGGACAACAGTACCTGTAGGCAGAAAGATTGTTCTTCCCCCTTTTTCTTGTATTTATTTATAGCAGTCATGATAACTTGTTTGCGTTTGAAGTCCTTATTTTGAGAATCCACAGTGGTAGGGGTGAAACAAAAGTACAGATCTGAAAATAAAGTAGTTATCAAGCAAGTTTTCTAATAGTTAAAATCATGGGACTTCTCTATATGTTAAAGGCTTATAAAAGAAGTATATGAAAAAGTTTAGCGTTATCATGTTATAACAAAGTTTTACATCTGTAGTTTGTTTGCACATGTTTTTCCTTTTTTAATTTCAAGGTTTGTTCTAGTCTCTTGATACATGTGTGCACAACACTGCAGACTTGAAAAATCTGTTACATGTGTGGACTTTCGAAAGCAAATACCACAATGCAGCCATCTTTAATGATGCTTTTTACTGTCAAGACTTACTGCTTAAGGCAGTCTCACTCTCAGTCCTTTATTTATGGTAGCTACTTTTGGAAATTACAGTTTAAAACCTTTCTATTTTCATATGAACATTTGTAGAAGTAGTTGTACTCAGTTAACTTATAGACTGCACAGATAATGTGTTTTTAAAAAAAAAAAGAGACAGCTATGTTGGCCCCGATTCAAAACTGAGTCAGCAGAATTGTCGTCTTAACTTCTACAAGCTATGGATCAGGCTGATGGCCAGTTATATTGTGTTTTTTCTCCATCTCGCCCTTCCACCGGTCTTTATTTTGGTTATGTTGATCATTCAGATATACGAAAACAGAAACAATTCTCATGTTTTTAGACAGCCAATAAAAAGCAATTGGCTCTACCACTTTCCTTCTTTAATTTGAATGTAGTGCAAGTTTTGACATTTTAAATACACCTACATTTTCACACTTTATGTCGTAAATTAGGCAGTTTTATTCCCAAAATCAATTTTTTCCTTGTTTGTTTTAACAATGCAAAAATAGGGTAGAAATACAATAAATTTATTCAGGCCCAGTGCTAGCAGAGAGAAAAGGGCAACTTGGTTCAAGGATTAAAGATCAAATGTTGATATGGCACACTGTGAGAACTTCTCTTGGCATAAGAGCAGATCCAGATAAAAGACGTCCTGTGCAGAACTAGAGTTGAGGCCATGTTGACTGAGGCAGTGGTTCTTAAACTGAAGAGAACATGAGGAAGAAAAAAAAGAAGGAAAAGTTGTCCACAGAACATCCAGTTCAGATAATAACGTTCAGAAATTTCGCAGAAGTTATAGTGTGCCAGTTCTAAGACCTTGTACAAACTAGAAGGGATTCTGGTAATTTGAGTGCTATGAATATGCAGTTTCTTGAACACACTTTTCTAAGGTGAAGACTGTTATTAAAAATCTGGTAACCAATACTCAGAACCTGGACAACAGTAGCGTTGTCTTCCAGAAGGTCAGAGAATATTTTCTATGGTATTCATTAGCATAGGATGTTTCATGTTTTTCTCTTGCATGTTTTTCTCATCCTGCCCTATTGATCAATGATGATAAATCTAGTCTGGTGTGGGGTATGTGCCTCATATCTTTAAAGACTGCTGGACTCTTAGATTGCTCTTTGGAACCATGAGACTGAATCTCAAAACATTTTTAGTGCAGATCAGAAAATATTCAGAGCAATTCTCCAAAAATAGAAGGAGTGCCTGGAAAAATTCAGGAGAGCTTAGCTGTCTCCAGGATATGAAGAGGCAAGAAGAATCCACGAATAATAAATACACCTTACTGTATCTGCTTTGTGTTTGACTGGTATACAAATACCGTAGCAAGTCAATCCAAAAAATGTGGTCAGGTATGAATGTTCACTAAATACTCACTGGTTTCTCCCATTACTTTCTTTGAGTACAACCATCTAAGATATATCATGATTTGAACAAAAAAAAAAAAAAATATATATACTCTGGGCAAATATATACACATATGTATATAGCACAATTACCAATACCTTAAAATAACACTTAAAGATCAAAATTCAAAATATAAATATATATACATAAATCAAGTTAACTCAGCACAAGTGCAAAGTAGGTAAATTTTTTTCAGTCATTTTGTGAACCTGCTGGTATCGTTGTACCTTGAACCTAAATGACTCAGTTCTGGGGACTGAGGGATGGCAGCCTTAATGCTGTATTTGAAATTTATTGCGTAGTTTGGTCCCACCTCAAAACTTCATTAATTTCTTCTTAGAGAAGAAGGAGAAAGATTTGGAGAAACCATTACTTTTACTCTTGAACTAACAATTCTTCCTTAAGTATTTTCTCACTTCTCTTCTTCACCAGGGACTTAGTATGCTTCTAAAGAACATAAGGAAATTATTAGCACTGCTGCTAAAAATGGTCCTGTAGTTGCTTGTCTAGGTAAATGAGACTCATGATTTTGTAAAGAAAATTCTATCAGAAAAAGTGATTACAAGTCCATGTTCCTGTTTAATAATATAGATATTGTTGTTCTTTGAAGACACCATCTCTGTTGTCTGTCTTTAAAAGCAAAATCTTCGAAGAAAAACATTTCAAGACACGTTTTTAACACTCCTCTTTAACAGTGCATGTATATTGCCTGTAGCTCAAATTTTACAGCAGCTGTGTTGTAGATACTCTGATTATCTCTTTCCATGTGAATCTGATATAAAAATACTTTTTACGGCATCTCTACAGGAGTTGTAAGTGTTTGTGCTGTGTAGAGACTCTTGTCTTGTTAAATGCTTTTTCATTCAGCATGACAAAAATTTATCTTTTCTTTGTTTTCAGGAATGAGATTTCAGGATTTAGAAGTGAGATCACCTAACCTTGTGCTCCCAAGATATGGACAGACTCTGCTCGAGGATCCAAGGGCTGAAATGAGAAATTTGTATGATTTTCATATTTCTTAATTTTTGTCATTATAATTGTTAAAACTTGTGGTTTTCTTGAAGAAAAAAATAAATTTTTCAGAAGTTTTTTACTTCAGAAAATGAAGTGAAGTTGTTAGATCTGACAACAGTAACACTGGTAACAATGCATAGTGTTTTATGATAAGGAAAACATAAGATCAGGAATTTAGAATGCAATATGCAGGTCCATAAGAATTTGGCTGGAAGTTAAAATTGATCTTCAATGGTGAGCCTCTCTTTTTGCCAGGATGCAGTGCTGCCTAGCTTACTTCTGGGCAAAACTGACAAAAGCAGAAAGAATCTTAGCTGCAAAATTATTACCAACATAACTCCTAAAATGTGTAGGATAACCCATGCAAGTGGTGACTGTATTGAATGTGTTACGCTGATACATTTAAGCTTCATTTCTAGAGATGGTCAGATTTTATGGATAAGTTTCAAAAAGTGCAGTATGGGGTAGTAATGGAAAATTATTTTGATTCACTTCTGCATTTTGAGAGTTGGTTGTAGTCCAGTTGCACATTTTAACTGAAATTGAAGCTCAGGAAACTCTTGATAGCATCCTTAAAGTAGAGGCTGAATAAGAACAGAGAGGTGTTATATAGGGTGGAGAAAATGTACTTAACATCCAACTTAAAGATATTGAGGTCTGATCAGAACATTTTTCTTCTCCAAAGTATATTGGAACCTGTTATGCTTTTTAGACATCTGGTTTTCTAAAAGCTACTTTCAGTATGTGTGTTTCTTTCCATAATGATTTACCTAAATCAGATTTACTACAATATCTCTAAATGCTAAATTTTCAATAAATGGGCAGGCTAAGTATACAAATATATGAATTATGCAATTGCAATGTGCTATTATGTATTTTGTGTTGGAAGTTTTGTAAATGCAAAGATTTAGTGGGATCATAGGAAATAATTTTACAGAAATAGTCTTATAAATGTTTTCAATAAATAAATTTAAATTATTTAACAATGTTTAAATTGCACTCTTGCTAGCATCCTGTCTGAATTTAACCCTTGCTGAACGGTTACAAATTTTTTTTTTTTAAATAATTTGCATTACAATAGAATGCTGTTACTGAAAAAAAATTTTTAGTAATTTTATAGTGATGGGCCTAGAAAGGGCTATTTCTCCTATTCACTTTTGAAGATTAGGAAAATAAGAGCTATCCATTAAGACTGCCATGAATCTTGGTGTTCACAATAGATTTTCTCCCTAAGACTGATCAAAACCATTGTCTTATAATGCAGAAAACATTCAAATAGCATTTTTTTTCAGAGATTTCAGTTCTCACAAAGGTGCAAAAATCACCACAGTTGCTTAGAATGGTGCACTCGGGTACAAAAGCAAACACATGGCCAAAAAAGTCAAGGTACTTTTAAGTCTACAATAGGTAAATGAAATAATGAAGAACTATAGCTTATGCATCAAAAGCTTTAGAGTGGAAAAAATTGTAGATAAATTGTTGCTTATTCTTATTAGAAAAAAAGTTATTGGAAAAGATATCCGAGAATAACTTGTCAAGAGAATCAAAATCGCAAAGTTGTGGCCTACTAAAAATATTTGGATTCTGATGTCTATAGTTTTCTGCCTTTCTTTTTTAATTGCATTTACTGGGTGAATTCCACTGTTAAAGACACATCATCTGATTTTTTTGCGTAAAGTTACCTAACTCAGAATAAAAGCTTAAAAATTACTCTCACTGCTCCGTCTATTGAAGATCCCATATTCTTTTGATAGCTAGTAATGGTGTTTTCTTTTTCAGAAAACGCCTGATACTAATGGATTAGGAGGAGGGTATGTTTAATATAGAGTATAAGAAACCATAAACGATGTTTTCAGCTAGGTTCTGATAAACATTTATTTTAAGAGTATTATGTTGTTTGTGTTGTGTTTGATGATGTGTTTGAATTATTTATCTATTTATTGTACTATTCACATCTTTTCATGTGGTGACCTCTAATTATTTTCATAGTAAGTTGAACTCAAACCTCTGTTGTGATGCATGTCATTAAGAAATACGAATTTTGCTGAACAGTTCTAAAATTTTTGCTCTCTTGACTATTCATTTAATTTTTTTCTTTTATTAAATACTTACCTGGTTTTGGAATGTAAGATGCTTGTACTTGCAGGGAGACTGTGATTGAGTCCCAAAGGGAACACATTGAGGAACTAGAACATGCTAGAGAGATACTTGTGAGTCAGCTAAGAAGGAAAGAAAAGGAAATTGAAGAGTCCGTCCTACGGCTGAAAGAGCAAGAAACAACAAGCCAAAGGTATTGTGAAAAATAAAAATCTCCATGGTGGAAGCATTAGAAGAGCTATGTCATAATGTTTATATATAGCTGTGAAAATTACTTGTTTAAAATGACTTTATTAATTTTTTTTTCCCTTTGGTGAAACTTAGTCATAAAATGTTTTACCAAATAGCCATGGATAATTCTACGCAAGGAGATTGTTATGATAATAGGTTATTGTGTTTTTTCACAAATAAACAAAGAGGTTTATAATTGCCATTTTAGAGAATTCATTAGATTCAATTGAAGTTCAACTCATTAGATTTTAATCATCTATTTTTTCTTCAATATAATTCTTAGAAAATTTTAGATATAGGTTCATAGTGGATAATTTAATGTTCATTAATACTCATTGATAATTTGAAGTCTACAAATAGTAGAAAAATAATGAGCCTGTAACGGTAGATTAGCAAATTTTTGAAGGGATATGGTATAGCCGTGCAGTGGAAACAAAGCCAGACAAACATGCTTGCAGAATGTGTTTCACAGTAAAGCCTCTATTTATTTAATCTCTTTTATTTCTCTTTCTTCTTTCTTCTTTCACTTTTGCAAAAATACATGCAAAATTATATAACTTTGCATATATTTCCCCACTTTTGACTGTTTCAATTTCAGCCTGTTACTTTTAATTTTATTAAGGATCTAATACAGCACAATCCTGCATTCCTTACTCATTTGATTTCAATGAAAGTTCTACTTGGATGAGAAATATGTGGTCAGTTCTTTAACTGCCTTTCAAGAGAGGCACCCCATTATTATGTGTGAGCATTCTTTTGTGCATCAGTGGTGCTACATAAATAATACATCATAATTGCTATTAAATTATTCACAAAGTCATAAGTCTCCCCTACTCAGAATTTCCTTTATATAGTTTAAATAGGTTAAAGAAGTTGTTATCATAAATAATTTCTCAGTCTGTGCCTACAGTGAATTCAGAAAATATTTAAAAGATTTTTTTCATTATTTGAAGATAATCTGAATCAAATCTCAAAGAACTTCTGTGCTTCATTTTTCTGTAGATAAACACTGTTCTTCAAGTACAGCAGTCAGACACATAACTTCTAAATTCGATGTTAGCTGCCATGTTTCTGTGAAATTTTTAAGGAGTTTTAAAGTAAAGATACACTTCAAATTCAGCTAAAAAATCCTTAAATAAAAAACTATAAAAAGTAATGCAGATCCTTATTTCTTTATGTTTATTAAATTACTTGTATACAATCCATGATACTTGACCTAAGTTACAATCTGTGAATTCATGTCTGAAGTTCTGGAATTATTTCCTTCATAGTCTATTTCTTGTTTGAAACTGGATAAAAGATATGTTAAGTGTTTAAGAGTTACCGTGTTTGGCTGAAGATGCTGGGAAAGAAATGGAAAAATGTCCACTAGCGCATATCCAGAATAGTGTGAGTTCTGTAATTCTGCCACTAGAACACTTTATGGAAGGCTGTTAATCCCCATGTTTTTCAAGTTACGTTTCTTTTATGCTGAATGAACCAGAGTCAGAACTTAAGAGTGATACTATTCTCTCCAGGTTTAACTGTAACCACAGGTGCCTATACATCTTATCTTTAGGATATTTTCATTAGCTTGCTTTCTTGGAAGTAACTGCTATCTAGAACAGTCTGTATTTGATGTTTTATTACACAAATAGATTTATAGGTTCTATGTAATTCTTATTTTTAATCATCTTTGCATCAGCAGAGAAGAAATTGTCAATACAGGAATATTGGAGGAAAAATTGGAGATTTGGGTGACTGATAAGATCATCTTATTTCGTCTTTGTAGCTTATGTCTCTGAATTTTAGTACAACTGGCAGCTTTTTCTTGTGTTTTGTAAGAATACACTTGGCTGTCATCTAGTTACGTTACTACCCAAAGGCAGTTAATCTGCTGAAATTATTTAGGAACTGTATGGTGCCAAAGGGACATAATAAATGTGCTTCCACCAATCTTCATGTTGTAGTACCATTTGATCTCAGCCTGTTGTTAACAAAATTGGGTTACTTTCAATGTTTAGGAAAACATTCTTTATTCTGCTACATGATTAAGAAATTCTTGTGATTGAAATAATTGTTGTTTCCAAGTAGTGAAGCAGCCACAGTTAATAATCATTGATCCATCAGCAGTAAGGGAGGGAGATACTAGTTATCCTTAGTCCCATATCCACAAGAAATCCAGTTATATTTTAAAGCTGTCTTTGCAGCTTCACTACAGTTTCTGTGTAACAACACAAGAGCTACATAACAAGCTGAGTTCGTAGGCAGTGTACTCCTCGAGATGATTATTGTAACATGGCTGCAATCAATTTTTTTTCAATATTTCATTAGAGATTGTTCGGGGATTGTTTCAGGAATGTATAATGCTGACTTAATTCTAACTTAAGGGGGAAACTTGGCCTGTGGGTTGTTAGACTAAACACATTTTCTTAAGTACAAAATTTAACTGCATTTAGCTTGACTGTTTTTAATTTAAAGATGGCCAAAACCATAATAGCCTCACGGTTTGATGTCTGTGATACACAGTGTGCAAGTTGAAACATTAAGTCTAAACAATCACATTTTGCAAGCAGCTAGCTTCAAATAACTTAATTGCTCATCGTACTTTCCAAAAACATTTTTAAAGCCACCCCAAAATGCATTTGTGAAACAGGTACTTGGTTTTTGCATGTTTGTGGGGGTTTTTGTGTTTTGTTTGGTTGTTTTTTTAATGTAAAAGCTTATTTGCCAGTCAGTTTTTAATTCCTTTGGCATTTTTTGCTGCAATATGACTTCGGAATTAAACCTATTAAATGTGTGGATTTTTGGACAGGAGTATCATATCTGACGCACTCATGACTTCTGTGTTTGCATTATAGCATTAGACCTAGATTAAAATGTGGTATGTTAGTCACAATGCATTATCTAAAGGGTCTTAAGAGACAACAGCATGCATACGAATTTGCTAAATCATGTCTAGTATTAAAAAAACCCTTATATTTGCATTTCTATATCAGATTTTTCATTTTTAACCCGTTTCCCTAAAGATCATAACTTTTTTCATTTGTAGATAGCTCTTTAACCAGGCAAACAAATACAGAATTTTATATTAGTATTTAAATAATCTTAACTTAGATGCTAGAGCTATCGATGCAATGTTAATGTTTTGCTTATTGCAAATATACTATCAATTACAACATAAAGGTGCTACTAGAAGGTAAACATTGTTGAGGTTTTTTTTCCCTTTATATTTGACTTCCTGTAAGGAATAAGAAGTAAAGGAAAGAATATAATGTATATCAACATATAATCCTGTTAGTTCCTAAGCATTGTAAAATGAGAAGAGTACTGCACGTTGATGTTCTGTTCTTTACTTCTCTGCTTGGGAGTCTATGTATATATCTTGGCCATTGGTGCATTTGTGATTGAGAACTATTAGCCTAGAAACCTTTTGTTTATTTTGCCAGACAGAGGTTAAGTGGTGCTGCGAAGTATGATGGTGATATTTTTTTACTTGCTTGTTTTTCTTGTTCTGAATGTGAATGGGGAAAGTTTGTCCAGTTGATACAATAGTCAGGACTCTCTAAGAGTAGTCTCGGTTTTGTATTCATGTCCTGCTCATATGGAAGTAAAGACAAGATGCAAGGGATGTGGTTTAATTAGACCTCAATTTTATTAGCTTAGCCATCTGGGATTTACTGGCATAAATTTGTACAGTGCAGGTCAAGATCCTTTCTTTAATCATTTCCTTCTGGTGTAGGTTGCTGTCAGTCCCCCATTCCCACACAGCTGGTCCCCAGCCTGTTATTGGGACCCCACTCTATATGCTTTTAATCCAAATGATAAGAGGTCTGGAAAAGAGATTGTCTCTTTGGTGTACTTCAGACATTAACCCCAAACATAATTCTTAGTTTTTTAAAGAGTCACTTTCTCCTAATTTCATTTCCAATTTCAGACTTTTTAATCCAGTTTTAAGATGAGGTTTAGAGCGGAAGGATAGAGTTCATGTTTCTTATTTCTGCACTTGTGGCAGAAGGCGTGCTAGAGCTAAATCAGTATGGCCATTAATTCAGGTTACTGCCTCAAAAGGGATATTAGTTCCTTTTCTTTTTCTAACTTTTGCTCCAGGTCTACCTCCATGTCTTCAGGTTCTGTAGCAGAATTTTTGGTTTTTTTGGCAATAGAGAAAATATTGAATGAGCTATCTTAGTATAGCTTTATTCTTATACATTATTTTGTTATTCTTTGAGCAAAATATTATCTATGTAAGTGAAAGGTAGCCGTTGACTTTTATATCAAATTTGTATATAACCTATTTTTAAGTTATATCAGAATACCTGGGCAGATGTTCTGGGAGCAGAATACATCAACTACCTGGGAGGGAGAAGGCTCTGTAGATAATCAATTTCTATTCTATTCTACTGTTTTGTGACTTCATTTATAGAAAAATGAATCTTCCCAACAGAATCTTCCTCAATTAACTTTGCCTTGCCCACGAAATCTGAAATGATTTTGTTCTTCAGCACCAAGCTCCTTGTCATGTACCTAGATGCATTGGACATTTCTTAGACATATTTTATTTAAATAAATAAATAAAATATCGTAGAAGTACTGTGGAGAAATAATTTTGTTGCTCTAGCCTATAATGAGAGCTGAGATTGTGGTTGATGTAATACACTAATAAGAAATTAATGGCACATGCTTTCTGTAGCTAGAAACTTCGTGAGATAAATATTCTCAAAATTGTAAGAATTGAAATGATCTCAATAAAAAGTAATTTTTCACTTCCGAATTTGAATAATTTACTTCATAATATCAGTACCCCAAACCCGTTAAATCAAATGCTGTTTCATTTGCTGTTGAAAAAATAGTTAATGTTGATTGTCAGGAGCCATGGGGTTTACATCTGTACATCATAAATTTCACTATCATCTGCTCCTTTTTCTACTTAAAAAGAAAAAAAAAGAAAAAAAAAGTCCCCTGCTTAAAAAAAAAAGCCCCCTGCTTAAAAAAGAAAGGAAAAAAAAAAAAAGAAAAAGAAAAAGCCTTTGAAGGCATCAGGGCCTTTTGTTTGATGTGTGGAACAAGATTAATAAAAACGTGCCACTACATTAGCTTTTAAATAGCTAGCATGAGACGGTGCTGCTGTCTATACTCACCACAACTTTAATTTATGTAGATAACATGTTTTAGACACATGATAGTTTTAGCATTGTGTTAGGGCTGTTTCTTGCAGAAGATCTCAGGTTTGTGAGTGTGTTTATCTTCTGTGTAAGGACAATTAACTGGGCAATGCCAAAACACAATAGGCTTTGATATTTTACAGAATAAAAGGAAAGTATTTCACGTATTCAGCTGGTTTACAGATGTGTAAGCTTTGTAGTCCATTTTCTTGCTCCAGCATGGCATTGTGACAATTCCTCCAATATGTCTAAAATAGGTAAATATTGGAAGAGAAATTACCTTTTCAAATGCTAAAGATTTATTCCGATTTTATCATATTTTATATTAATACAAATCAGAATTGGTTTCTCTTCCCATACTTGAAGAAGCTGTGAAAATAATGGGGTTTAGTTTCACTGTTTGAAGTAAGGGAAAACATCAGAAATAAATGTTTATTTAAATTTTGAATTATTTTAAACATCCTTTCTATTAAACAGTACATCCTCAAATTAATCTTAGAATTGCGACAATATAGAACATCTACATGCATATTAAGTGATTTTCATGTAGTTACGACACACCTGCAGCTTGTTTGAATGCCAGTCTTAAGGTGTTATAGTATAAATTGCTAAGTCACTTTTTCTTAGCAGTATTTTATAGATTTAAACTCTAAGAGGAAACTCCATAAAATGGTAATCTCTTGGCACCAAATACTTTGGAGGGTGGAAAAGAAGTGAATGGAAAACAAATAATCTCTTTAGGTGTAGGATTTTTTCCTCTTCCTGTCGTGTATAGTTTGATACGATAAACAAAGATATATATGTATTGATTGAAGCTGCTATGTCATCATGTGGTAGAATGTTTATTTACCTAACTTCTGTAATGTGGGTTATAGAAGAAGAAATTAATTTGGGTATCACACACTAGATCTTCTCCTAAATGTGTTGTAGAAAGCTGATTTGCAAAGGTTTTCAACTTTTCATGACAAAAATACTAAGATAATTCATGTTGTATCTTTAAGCTCATGTTGCATTTCTTTTTAATACAATTTTGAAGGCTAAACATTCGGGACAATGTGGAAATGATCAAGGTCCATAAACAGCTGGTTGAGAAAAGCAATGCTCTTTCAGCAATGGAAGGAAAATTTCTCCAGCTTCAAGAGGTAATTGCGATTTGGTCAGTAACATTCCTTTACTCTTGTCATATAAGCATGCGTAAACGGAAAATAAATATGCACAGTTCTTGATTCTGAGTCAATGCTGAGTACATGAAAATGAACCACATGATACATTGCACCCAAGCTACTCCAAATGTGTAGGGTTTTTTAGTCTTTTTTTTGTTTTGTTTTGTTTTGTTTTTTTCCCAGAAGGGTCTAGCAGATTTTATCTGCAAGGCCATCCCAGGCAGACTGTGGAGAATGAACTGAGTTGTCTGGCTGTCTAAAGAGATTCACGATCACTTAAAAAGAGGGCTTTGACTTAAATGCACTGATTTACTAAAGAAGGGGTAACAGACCCCATGCACTTTATCAGTCTTTGATAAAGTTGGGGAGGTTTTATAGAGTTCTGACATTAGGACTTAATTTGTGTTCATAAGTTCATGGAAATTATTTTAGAGGGCTACTGTAAGTAATAGATTTTTTTCATAAAAAGAGCAGTTTTATGAAAATATCACCAGAACATGCAACTGCATGGTAGATTCCATATAGGTTTCAGTTACACAGCATTTTTCTGCTTCCTCCCATATGTATTTGGAGAACCGCATGTATATACGGACAGCGGTACTATGATAATAGCTTAGAAACAGGAGAGTTCCTGTGAGTAAGAATCCTACATGCAATAGAGCTTTATAAAGTATCCTAGCCTTATGAGGTGGAAGCACTGGATATCCTCGTAAACTCTTCCTGCTGCCTGCTTCTTGTTATTTTAGCATGCTAAATAACACTTGTGCCATTAGATTTTTGTTCTGTTCCTTTTTTCATGTGTTTTTCTGCTTCTACATTTTGCTTTGCTTTGCTTCACTCCCCCTCCTCTGTGTAATACCTACATCTTCTCTGCCAAAGCAGCTCTTCTGTTAGTAGCTCAAATCTAATTTTTCACAGGGTGAACTATGTAGAATGTAAATTGCAGGGGAGACAGGTTTCACATGGCTTTTTGTGTTCTTAAATAGAAAGTGGTAACTAAACTGTTCCATTTTAAATCATATGTGACTTTTTGGTAATTTACAACATCAAGGACTTATGCCTCTGTCTTGGCAGCAGCTGAATAGAAACACATGCCTAGGATTCAGACTGGTATTTGAAGACATTGTTTCTAATATTCACAGCGAAAGCTGCATTTTTGAAAAGGATGAGTGTGTTTTCTATCTCTCTGTCTTTTTTTTTTTTTTTTTTTTTTTTTAAATACAAGATACTGGATACAATGGTTTTCCCATTTCCAAGCATTTGAGTGTTTGAAACATGTCAACTAAATGTGAATAACTGTAAAATCCAAAATTTCTGGTTTAGGTGGCACGTAAAGTACTTATCAACAGAGCAGTTTTTAGGTTTTTTTTATGTTTATCTTGATGACTTTACGACTATTGAGTTCATTATCATTTACTTTCAGCTTTTACCAATTGAAACTCATATAATTCCTCCATGTTCTTCTTTGAACTTGAGTCAGCCCAAAATGTGAAACCACAGAATGATAAGAGCCTATAATCCTTCTCCATCTAATGATATTGAAATTGAGCTTGCTATCAAACATTTACAGGATAGTTTTGTTGATAAAGAATTTTTATGTAGTCAGTTGAATGAAGGAACTGTGCGATCTGCTTAGAAGAACAAAGGACCCTGAAACTGTTTGGATTATGTATTTGATCCCATTGGTGTATTTATTTGCTTTAATTACAGACTGAACATTCAGGATTTCATGATTTGTAATGTGAAATATGCTAACCTGTGCAACTACAATTTAAAATACTGAGAGTTAATTCTTGTCTTGAACAATCAGTACAAAATTTCACAACTGTAACTGAGAGCAGTTTACGTTCTTTTTTGCAGTATTTCTAGGACATATATAACCATTTTCTTTAAATGAGTTATTTCTAATTGACAACAATATCAAGGCATGTTTCCCAAAGAAATAAAATTCCAGACTAGAAATATTAAACTAAAATCATCATCCCAATTGTTGCATGACCCGAGTCTTGGGATACTCCAGGGAGAGCAGGATAGAAAACAGTTTGGGCATAATGGAAGAAAAGTGCTGACAGAACACTCAGATGTAGAAGAATATCCAGGTAAAGAATGCATTTTGGAAAAAAAATAATAATAATGAGGGTAAAGTCATGGTCCCCTTAAAGTTAATCCAAAATGGTCAGGAGAGTAGCAGAGACACTGAAGGATTAGAATGAAGTTAAAGCAAGGAGATTTTTCAGGAGGATATTTTTAGTGCTTTTAATGAGATGGTTCAGTAGAATAAATATGATTGTTGAATTTGTTTTCAACTGTTTTGGAAATTAAGGAAAGAGATAAGGGTGAAATGGTCTATGAAAGGCAGCTTTGCCAAGGTGGGTTTTTTTTTCTTCATATATAGTGGGTTAAAGTAACACAAGTTATTGAAATGGAAAAGAACTTAAGAAAAAATTGAAGCTGAGAGATGGGGAAGAAAAGATGAGTTTACTTGGACAGTTGGAAGGGTTAGAGATGGTAAGGATTCTGATTTTGAGGGGAAAGGAAAGAGATTTGGAGATAAATGAAAAGAGTGTAAAAGAAGGATTTTTAAGGTGTCATTTTTTGAAGTTATTGAAATACAATTCACAGATATAGGTCAGAGCAAGTGGAGCACTGAAGAAAGACTGTTAAAAATTGATGAGTAATATACTTCATTATCTCTCTGAAATAAGACTGACTGCTAATGTAATTTATTCTCCATGATATTTTTCTTACGGAGAAATGAGATATGAGGAGCTGAAGATCGGGTTGGTGATCGGGTTTTCTGTGGGTTTTTTTGTTTGTTTCTAGGATATTCAGACTGCATGTGAACCCAAACAATTTGTACAGGATTCACATTCAGGTTCTCCATTTAACTACTTTGTAGGAATATTATATGGAAAACATGAAGCTGACTTTTTTCTGTCTACAATCATTAAACATTATCTTATTTGTATTTGACACAAAATTTCATATAATCATTTTATTAAACAGGAGATTGGCTTTTGGGCTGTTTTGTTTCAAGCCATGCTTTGTGATTTACATTGAAATTCTTAATGAATGAGGCTTTATTAAAGCATTGTGGGATGTAGGGAGTATAATATTAACTAATATTCTAGTAATAGAGGTTCTATCAGCATCCTCCATTTGATATTAAAATAGGTTAAATATACCTTAATATTCATTGAAGTAAATTAAAATGTAAAAGAAATCGTAAGTCCCTCGTTAAATTACTGCTAGCAGGGAAATAGAACTATTAGGATTATGAAACAATTACATATCTACAATTAAGGGTTAACAGAGCTGTGGCAAGTTCTGTGATTAACATAACTGTGGTCAACATTCATTTTTGCTTGCTACTGCAGTGTTTTTGGTCAGCGTGTCTAACCACTGTAACCACAGCAAAATCTTTTAATTGCTTAACAGATGTATTTCTTGGTTGTTTTCATCATGACTGAACTGAGGGTTTAATGTTCATGAGAGCAACAAGAATGCCACCTTCTCCTGGCCATGTGTAGTGAAAGTTGCTTTCAGTTACTTAGTTCAAGAGTGTCTCCTGTTGACCGCATTGAGAATATATATTAAATACTGTCATGAGAATGAGAGACCACTGGTTGAATATGCAGAGTGCTGTAACGTTCTACTAAGTGTGATGTATTTTTTTTTTTTTCTGGGTTTTCCTTCCTTCCTTTTCATAGAACCAAAGGAACTTGAAGACGAGCCATGATGCTTTAATAGCAAAAGGTGATGAACTGAATCTACAGCTTAAAGAGGAGCGGTTAAAGTGCCTCCATCTTGAAAAAGAATTGCAATCAGTGACTATTTCAAACCGAAGGACAGAGGAGGTGAGATTGTGTTCAGGAGAGCTAGAATCTGCTTTAGGTAGTACACATAGATAAGGGAAAAGTTAACTGCAGATGTGAATAGACCTTTCAAACACATTTAGAAGACTGACCTTTTATCCCATTAAAAAGAAAATCCTGTGGCTGCTGCTTGCATTTCACAGAATCATGAACCATACCTGGTCCCCATGCCACATAATCACTGCACCAGCGTTTGGACAATATTTGAGGTTAAAGCATAGGATTTCATGTCAATTCTGATACTAAACAAGTGGTTTGTTAACCAGAAAAAAACCATAATACTTGATTTATTGATAACATATTGCTAGTTTTTAGTATTATTTCAGCCTGATTTAATTACAGTACATCTTACTCAGCAGTTCAAATCAGTCACTTCTATTTCTTTGTCTAGTGGCTCTCAGAGACAAGTATCATCACTAACAGTCACGCAGATATAGGGCTAAAACTCAAATGTTTTATTCTTATTCTCTTCAATATATGAGGATTAAGAGTCTACAAACTTACTTGTTTTTTCTTTCATTTTGTAGCAACTTAAATTTAGTTTTACCACCTGGTTTACCTGTTTTGAATGTATTTTACATGAACCAAGTTTATCAAGATTACCTCATAGATATTTCTTCCAAATCTTTAAACTATTGTAATGCATGTAGGGTATAGCTTCTGGGTTAAAGCATCTCGTATCTTTAAAACCATATCCTGCTTTAGTGAGTATTTTGAAAGCAAGGACTTGTTGTTTCTATAAGGTCAATAGAAAAAATATTTACAGAAGCCATTAACTAGCCAATACTAATACTCACTTACCAAAACGGAAATAAAAACTTTTAATGCTATAGATCGATTTTTTTTTTTTTTTTTTTTTTTTTTTTAAATAAGGCTGAATGTGATTAGATACTGTTCAACTGCAACATGTTAGTCTCAGCTTCATATAAACAGCATGAAAAAGACTGTCTGGGCCAAATGTAAATCCATGTGGTGAAAAAAAGTGTTATTTTGAAGCTTCTAAGAGATTGTTATATAAAAAGAACAAATAAAAGCCTGACAATGCCTACAAATTATTAATTAATTGTCTTTACACATTCATTGTAATTTCCTTTTGTGCTGCACATTGCTTGAAACTTCCTTCTTCATTTTAGTTACAGGAAAGAATAAATGATCTAGAAAAAGAGAAGGAACTCTTGAAGGAAAACTATGATAAGCTGTATAACAGGTAAGTTACGGTTTCTGTATATGAAAAGCTTGATTCCTGTCCTCTTTAATAGGCCTTCATATATCGTGTGCTTGAATGTACATATGCATATTGTGTGTCTGTGCACACATGTAAATATATTCATGCTACAGTTCATCATATAAGTGTATATGGAAACTTTTATGGTGTTTTGTCTGTATTTCATCTGTTCTGTTGAAACAGAGCAGCTTCTGTACTTGTTCTAATACTCTTGAAATAGTAGATTACTTCTTTTAAAAAAATCTAATTAAAAAATAAGTACAAGTCACTTTATTTTTAACATCAACGCAAAAAGTTCGTATTTGAATTTCTAGTAATTTTTTTTTTAGGGTTATTGTTGAAAGAAGAATACATCTAGGTAGACATATATTCCTTTGGGTTTATTTTATTTTATTTTATTTGGGGAAAAGTGGTGTTGCAACTTTTTTTCCAAGTTCTTGCAGCAGTCCTCAGTGGACCTATATAAAGTCTGATATTTGACAGCTTCTCCAATGTTTATTTTTGAGGGGTGGCTTGTTTGTTTTGGTAATAGCTACCGTTTCACTTGTCCTGGTTCTGCTTGAAGTTTCTGTATAGGCACATGTAAGTTTTTACAAAGGTTCCTAAATATAGTAAGTTGTATAAATTGTATCAGCAATGCTTACAATGAAAATACATTCCCAGATATGATTCAGAAATTCTCTGGTACAGAAAAGAAGTAATTATAGTCAATTGACACAAGCATATTAAAGGAAAAAATGACCTTCAAATGAACTTTTCCTTTATTGTGAAACCATGTGGTCTTTTACACTGAAGAGAGTTAGAAAATAAGAGCAATTTCCTGGAGCTAATAATTGCCTCAGAAAGTAGGTAAAATGCTTGAAGTCTTTTCTCATATCAAAATTATTTGTCCTCTTAAAAGTTTGTTTGGTTTTTCAGTGTGATGTCTGTCAAAAAAAGTACCAATGAGTAAACACAATGTGAGTGGTATCAAATGTTGTTTATAGTATTTGTAGACTATTTATTATATTTTTTGTACTCTCTATGGTGAAATTAAAAATTATAGTAGTAAAAAACTGTGAGTACAAATAGCTTAAAAACATTTTTTTACATATGAGATGTAACAGTTGTATAATCACAATATTTAGAGTTTTGTATAGGGGCAGTTGGCCAGTTGTCTCTTGCTTAAGTTCATTGTAGATTCCTCCAAAGTCTGATCATGTTATAAATATTTCTGATTATGGTTTTTTTTCTACTTTATCATTATGTAGAGAAATAACTCTTGCTAACAAATCAACTTACAATCTTGGCTTGAAATTTTCTGTTCTATTTAAATAATCATAGTGGGATAACTTAAAAAGACGTTTAACTAGGTAAATTTAAATATGGTTCTTCTCTCATAACGCAGTAATCTATAATATGGCTTTTCTTTTCCCTAAAATGAACTGTCTTGTTCTGTAATCCCTTTTAAGCTTTGATTCATGGTTCATCATTCCATGTTACTATGTAGGTAACAAGAAATTAGAGAAATGGATCATTTCATTATAACTACTGTTTAATGGCCAACAACTTCCGTTGCCCATTTGAACAATGGAACTTTACTACAGCTTACCTGTTGCTAGCCAGTGTCCACAGGTGCCAGATAATTAATAAATATTTCCTTCTTTTTTTAATGGAGGAAAAGAGACGTAAACCTGTTGTTTGCTAATGTAATTTTTTTGGAAATTCACTTGAGATTGATGGGAATTTTGCCAAAACCAAGACTTCAGAACTGGATCTGAAAAGTTTACAAAGAACAAGTATGAGTTTGTCAGTTGACTCTTATTATTTAGTCAGTATCCAAGAAAACAATTCGTTTGGATAAAAGGTTTGGAGGAATTGTTTTCATATGACCTTGTAATGCAAATCTAGCAATGCTTAAGCTCCCTCCAAAGGAAACGGCGCCAGATGTGGTTGACCATTTATAGTTACCCAGATGGCTCCAACTCCAGTGAAATACAGTAAATGTGAAAGAAATTCCACATGAATTCAAGTAAAAGTAATCTTAAAATTCAAAGGAAGAAAGTGATAGAAGTGGACTCAATTCAGACTGACATAAACATTAGCATTGTATAGGCTTGGATAAAACCTGTCGTCTAAATTGTTCTTCATTTAAACATCTAAATTCTGAATTACCATCATAATAACTGTTAATGATTTTTCTGCCAGCATAGTCTTTTGAAAAACTGAAATAGTGTGTAGCTACATCTGTATGTGAAGTAGTTGTATCTAAAGATAACAAACGCACATATAACTAGATATCATGGTCATTAAAACTTGAAAACATTTTCAGAAGTGTGAAAACTAAGGTATTTGATATCATTTCTTGCTAAGATTTATTCTTTCCTTGCGGGAGACAATCAAACTTTGAAGAGTGGTAAATCTAAGCAATTATAGAACACACTGTGTCTCTTACGTACCTATGCAGTATTATGGAAATGATTGTGGGTTCCATGCATTATAGTCACTGCATATTCTCTTCAAAATTATAGCAGAGTGAAGTATATATTACTGTAGGACTTAGACGCATTGCTTAACTTCGTACATGCTATAAAAGACACTCTATCACACTATAAGATGGTATATGCCTAGAGAACTGTATAAATAGATGAGATAGATATAGTATGAGAAAAAGACAAAATACAGAGAGACAGCACTGTTTTTATGAAGATGACAAATCAAGAATGTAAACTCTTGCCATATACTTTAGAGTCTACAATTCATGCTATTTTTTCTTTAATCTTAAGGTCATTCTTCAAATATATTAGATATAAATGCATTTATATGTACTCAGAACCACTTTATGTTAGTCATAGCCATCAAAACAGGCAGTTTTCTTTCAGTCAGCATGTATAGTCTTCGAAGCTATGTGGGCTGTCCCTTCTGCGACATTTCTTTCTTCTCCTCTATGTTTTTTTGGTTAAGGCTTTTGTTACATAGATCTCTGGGAGAGAGAGATTGATAAACAGATAGATATCAGAAGATTTTTTTAATATACATTTATATATGTAAAAAATAACTTTTTTAAGGGGTGAGCTTCACCAAAGTGAGGAGTTGAGGAATGGACTCTTTTGTTTAAAAAAACCCTACAATTTCTGATTTTTCACAGAATACAAAAGTGAATAAACTGATTTATGATTGGTTAAGATCAGTCAATAAGAATGCAAGTATTGAATAATAATAATATGAAGACCATAGTACTCACTGTCTAAATTATATGAAAGCACATTGCATTGCTTTGTCTTTTTACCTACTGGGAATTACACTGTAAATTATATAACGTACTTATTTTGTTTCAATCTGAGTTACATATTTTGTTGTGGTTTCAACAGTTCTGATTCTGTGTCCATGCAATCTTTATTGCACATAGGTTGGTAGTTTACAAGTAAATAATGTGTTACAGGCAAAATAGTTATTCTAATTTCGTTGCCCACCTCTGTTTTTTATTTCTTAAAGTAGGAGAAAGATTAATTTATATGTGCTTCTTAATCAGTATCAGAATTGTTGTTTTACAGTATGAGAAAACTGTTGTCACTTTGTGGTCAACATTTCTTTGAATGGGCAACTGACTTTAGGCTCTGCATGTTTCACAGATTTAAAAGAAATCAGGTGGGTGATCCCAGTTCTCTACATTAAGAGGTTTTGTATGCGGAAAGAATGGTTTTGTCAGTTGTCAGTTGCTGAGGTTTGGAGTTGTGGATTACTCTGGGATATGCATCTGAATTCCTTTTCTAGTCCCACAAATGTTGCATGCTGCCAACTTTTCTGACTTTGGAGCTCTAAATTAAGGCCAGTTCCTTTGCTCATCCCACAAACTCTTTCATGTTTTTTAACCGCAGCCTGAGAAAGGCGCCTTGGTTTCAACAGCAGCAGACCAGCATATGTTTACTTAATTCCTAAGACATGATGACAGTGGTCTCTGTGCCACTAAAAGCTTTTTTCTTTATTATTTTCTGTTGAAGCTGATTTCTAAATCAGCTTTTTCACATGCCACATGTTTTATTGCAGTGTCTTCAGTATGACCCATGAACAGCAATGGATATTAAAGGAACAGCAACTGAAACTGCAAATTGCTAAACTAGAGACTGCTATCAAATCTGATTTAGCAGACAAAAATGAAATCCTTGACAAGATCAAAGTAGAAAGAGGTATATTTCTGAAATGAATATTATTTTCTTATGATGTGAGATTCTTCTGTGTTGGAGTTCAGGTATATTGCCCAGAAAAGTCTAGTTTCTGTTATTGGTGATTTCATAGCTGCCTTTTTAAGTGTACATTTGAACAATATGCTTAAGTTATGACTAGCTATTAAGTACAAAAATTAATCCAATACAGGTTACATGCTGAATGAGGATCATGTAACTGCCTTCATTCTTCAGCTGTTGGGTTAATGTTTACTCTTTATGCTGTATTTCTCCTCTCCTCTACATTGAAAATTCCTATGGAGAAGAGGACAAGTTACATGAAGCCTGTATAGGCCCTTGGAGATGGTTAATTGTCTTTCAACTTTGTGAATTCAGAATTTTTTAATATTTTCATTATATACTAATTTTTATTTACAGCTATGTACATTTACAATAATACAGTTTTCTTCTAATCTACTGAACAGATTATTTCATATGTGTTTTTCCCATGCTGTAGGACAACTCAGTGGATCTTTAAGACCTTGCAATCTTTTCTTTTTTTTATCTCAGTACTGCGATATACTGTGGCAACATAAAGTTTACAAAACAAGAGCACAGGCAGGAAGTAAACTAAATATTTTTAGAGTTGATTCTTCAAATGTGTATTTTTAAAAGGTGTATTTCTGTGAACAATCTAATGGAATGAAGTGGGCCAACTTGTTGTGAATAATTCTTCTTATGATTATGGCTCGAGTTCAGTATGTGCTTACCATTAAGATTCTGAGTAGCTTTACTGACTTCAAATACCAGATTAAATATTTAAACATTTTATTTGACCACAGCAAGTGTTTGCAAAATTAGCCTTAAGTGATACTAAAATAAATAAGATGCCTTAAGCTACAATAATATGAAGGTATGACATTGACAGTTAGAGACAGTTGTTAATGACAGTTTGATTATGCAATGCAAAATTTAAAATGATACTACCTTCCATCTTCTATCCTTCCTATGGGCATTGTGTTTAAGTGGCAAGTCTTTACCACCCCTTCCCCATATTGGCACTTAATAGCTTGTTGTACTCTTAAACTGGATCACCAGGTTGCTACGCTTTCAATTTCTGTTGAATTGAACTTGCTGCAGCTTGGGTAGATATTGTAATACCCTTCAAGGCCTAAGTATCTAGGATTTGATTACAAAACTTAGGCAGTATAAGTTTTTTAATCACATACTTCAGAGTATGTGCCTTTGCTGCACATCATTTTTGAAGTTCAGC